TGTAAGAGATGGTAACACTTGGGAGGTAGTTTAATGTCAATAATGCATGTCCCATAATGACGTGTCTCGGTTACCCTTCAGCAACTGGCCATGCTATTGTGGTACCATGGGTCATACGATCATGAATAAAAACTAAAATAGCTAAAGGAACTTGTCATTTCCCTCTTCCCCTAAAGTTCAGCAAGATGTGTACTTCACTCATCTTCATAGGTTTAGGGGGTGGGGGAGATTATACCTGAATCTTTTTATTTTCATAATGAGAAGCAAATGGTCAATGACTGTCACTATTCATCAATCACTGAAAAAAGTCAATCAAGCAGATAATGTATAAAAGGAAGTACCGCTTGGAATTCAAACCAATAAACTCTAAAAAAAAGTCCCTTTTATTATGCATTAGTGATGACTGTTCAATCTATATTTCCTGTTTTTGATTTAATATTTCTCAAAAAGATACAAGTAAAAGTCATATATGCCCTAGACTTAGTATTTTAGAATCCTTACCATTCTTATTTTTCTTTTAGTATCAAACAAAGTAGCTTGTCTCTTTCCTGTAAGTATAGCTCATCTGTTATTAAGTCTCTAAAAATAATTTACTGCTTTAAAAATAAGGATGAGAATGTGGTTATCAGTTTACCCTGAGTACAGACTGAAAGATAAACTACCAGAAGATGTAAATCCATAAGAGCAAGGCAGAATATTTAAACAAAGAGGAAAGCACAGATATGGGATACGCCTACTGGTATGTGACCTGGATCCTGTGACTGAAATTACAGTATTTTCATAAACATGGTTCCAGGAAAATACTACTAATTACAATATTATGTCCATGGTTTGGGGTTAAATAAAACTGAGACACAAACTAGTAAAATACTTTAGCAGGATTTTAAATAACCTGATTTCTATAAAAAAGTTTTAAAGAATTAATAGGCTTTATACCTCCAATATAACTTTCCCTTATCAAATGAATCTGAAATTATGCCCATATTTCAGAATTAATTTACTGACAAAACAGGTGTTATCAGAATCACAAGTTTCACTTCTATTTTTCCCTAAAAATGTGCTTTTTTGGTTTTTAGGAGAAAACAGTATTTCTAAATGTCCATTGAACTAACGAAGCACTTATTTTAATACATTTTTAAAAAGCAGTAATTTCATATGAAAATAACCATAGAGCAAAAAATTATTGCATCTCCTTTTTAATCCAGTAGTTGGATTTATTATTAGTGAAGTTCAAAGGTCAAAATGAAGAAAATCCCCGGATACTTGGAAGGAGGGGCTAGCTCAGCCGGAAGTCACATGACAGCTGCTAATTGAAAAATATTAGAAAGGGACAGGGAAGGGCAGAGAGTCTCTCTGTCTGCTCTTCTTTAATAATATTTGGTTTTCACTGAAACAAACTAAATAGAATAAAATAAATTCTCAGATTTGTAGAATTCTTAAAAGATGCCTAAAATAAATCACCCTCGGCTGAACACAACTGACACTTCATCAAGCATTCCTTGTAAAACAGAGGATGGAATTTTAATATGAAACTGTATTTCCACAGTGATTTTTTTTAATGAAGACAGACGAATCCCCAAACTACTTAAGTGTTTTTTTCTGCCATTACATCATAAAATTAAAACACTCTTCATTATAATTTATAACTTGCTTTTTCTAAATGTTCATTTATATTGAAAGAATGCAACTTTTATTAACCGTTTTGTTGCTTTTTAAAAGGATCAAAATGACAAATTTTTAGAAGGTAAGTCAAATCAATAATTTAATATTTAAATATATAAATCAGTTCATTACTAAGAGCAGGTCACATTTCTTTACAATCTTTTCAATGATTTTATTTATTAGAAAAGTCATGGCACTAGTTTCTTTCTTAAGCACACATTTTCTATATCTTCCCAAATATGTTAGGTTTCTTAAAATGTATTTTTCCTTATGTATATAATTTCCACATCTAACTCAAAATGATGAACAAAATTTTTCTTGATCAATGCTAATACTTTATTGACATGAGATAAAGTAATAATCCATAACTAAATTTAAAGTTGAATTAATGACATCATTTTGATTGTGTGTATAAGCTGCAATTGCACCACTTATTCTGAGCCACTAGATGGTGTAAAAAAATAAATTAAAATAGTAAAATTTCATTCCACCATGACAAAATCCAAATGTAACTCCAAGAAAGATTAAACAAATTCCTGGGCATATAATAACACTACCAATTTCTAATTAATTGTACTTTTTAAAAAAACTACCAATACATAACATTGGCTTTATCTTCATCTAACCCAAGTCCTCTGAAAACAACGTTTTGCTATCTTTTACTAAAGGCTCTGTGGCTTGTTTTGTTTGTGACAGGACCTCATTATGTCATTCAGGCCGTCCTTGAACTCACTATGTAGTTCAGGCTACCCTCAAACTCTTGGTGATCCTCCTGTCTCAGCCTCCCAAGCACTGAGACTACAGGCAAGTTCTTATGTTATAATATTAGGCATTCAAAATCAGCTTTTCAGCTACTAAATGAATTCATAGTATCAACTTCTGGACTGTATTTGCCAACGTTTTGATGAAACTAGAAGAACATACCAATATAAGCTTATTAGAGATCCTCCAGAGAGTTCCAGCTGAATTTGCCCAAAGCAAGATGGAGAAATAAGGATCTTCAGAAACATATTCAACTCCAAAGCAACCAGACTGTCAAGGCCAGTATACCCATAGCTGGCTCAGAGGTTCACCCCCATCAGACATAGCTGGGAGCCCTTCTTTTCACCCTCAGCAGCCCTTACCAAGTCCACAACCAGCCACTGTTGTGCAGACAGTGGGGACATGTGCTGGCTCACAGGGTCTTTTTTGTTTGTTTCTTGGTTAAACCTAAAATCAGCCCATGCTAAAACACCCATGAAATACCTAATGAAACGATAATGGTAAAGTGTCTGGCAGTGGAAATACTGTCTTTTTGTTCAGCTCTCTTCCAATAGCTTGAAGAGATTTTGGGTGGCAGTAAATGCTTCTTGTGAGCTGGACCATCTCCAAATTTAGATCTATGATCAGGCTTCACAAATAAAAGGACAATCTCCACAAAAGTGGTTTGGAAAAACAGGAATTTCTATCCCCAACACCCTACAACTATAATACATGCCTGTGATGATACTTTCAGTTTCATTTGGACAGAAAATGACTTTCTGAAGCAAAAGTAGAAGACAAGCTCTGCGAACTACGCTTGTTATGCAGGGGGTGGGCGCTCTCCCCAGGCTTTCAGTGACAACGTCAGCCTGATTCATAAAGAAGGTGCTAGCCTTGCTGGCTTTATGAGCTTCATATTTGCAAAAGGAGTGGGATGAGTGTATAGCAAGCACCCTTACAATCTGAAATTTTGAGTAGGAAATAATCAATCTTTTAATTTTATATATACTTGCAGCCAAGTTGGTTAAAGAAACTATGTGCCAAGTAAACTTAATAATGATTCCAAAAAAGTTACTTGATAGGAGGTGAAACTAATCAGTTTGATTTCTATATTCAGTACTTAACTCAGAAGGCCTTTGCCTTAACTCAGGACAATTAAATGCTCAATAACTGGCTTAATCAAGAATTTTAATGTGAATCTGGCTTTCTATAGCTCCCAAGGACTGAAGACATCTTTCTGGGAATAACCACCGAAAACAATATGCTAACAAGCAGAAGACTGAAAGAATTAGTAATAAGGCTTAGTTTTGAGCCCCTTAACCAGCAATTACCATAGCTGTCCTTACTTGTTTATTAAGTATTTCTTTCTCTGGCAATCTTTAAGTGCTCCTACTGCATTCCTTTTGGATTTCTGGTGCCTATAAAGGGGGTCTCAGGACATTGTAGGTGTTTTATGGTTTTTTCAAATAAATTGAAGGAGGAAGGGAAGAAGGATGAAACAAAGAAAGGAAGAGGAGGGAGGAAAGAAGAAGGGAAAGAAAACAGAAACACTAGACTTGGGATGCAGGATACCTATGCCACGGACAGGCTCTAGCTCTTTTTTGAGCTAAGTTCCCTTATGTATAAAACTAAGAAGAGATGATTTTGGTTTAAGACCCTCACTCAACTGTTCTGTAATCATTTTTTAGGATTTTATACACTAGCCATTTTAGTATTAAAATTCAATGTGACTTTATTTCCAAATTCCTTTCATAGATAACAAATGACATTAGCTTTGAAATATCCAAAATATTTCTCTAACCAAGATACCACATTAAACTCTTAAGATTTATGCTTTAACATTTCTTACTTGTATTAAATTGTTTCCATATATCATTTGTTTCTAAAATAGCCTCATAAAGTATACAAAGGAAGATTTCTAAATCCCATACAATAGTAAGAGAAAAAGTATGAAAATTAAGAGTGTGTGCAAGTAGAATCAGAAATATACCCTGACTTTTAGATTCTGAACAATCCAGGGTCTTACAAAACAGGACAAAGATTTTTGTGTATATAAAGATGAGTTTAAAACAATATACTTTGCCATTCTGTTTACAAATACAGTGTGTTAAACTTACCTAAACCTGTCTGAATAGAAAAGCACTGCTTTTAAATTGTCGGAACACTCAATATATTTACATAAAGATGAAAACCTTGTTCTATAAACAGTGTTTCCAGTAGTGAATGGCATACAAAGTCAGAATAAGCACAGAGAAGAATAAAAAGGAAGAGGAAAGAAAAACATAATAAATAACCTAATACCTTACAATGTGAACTTTCACATAAGTATATTGTTTCTGGAGAAGGCAGTGGGGGATGCGAGCCAAGGCTCAAGTGATAGGTAAACACGCTGTTAAGTTGAATCCTGTTATCTGATTGTGTCTAAATTTTGATTATATTTCACTTGACAAAATAATTAATTATTGTGAACTCCCAATTGTTAACAAGGACCTAGAAGAATTCCAACTGGCCTTTTTCCCTATTGTTGTAAATCCAAATGCATAAAAATCAAACTGTGTTTTTCCTTCTACTGTTGCCATTTTGGGGTACTCTCTTACCTTGCTGAGAATGTAAATCACATCACCACGCTTAAAGGATAACTCATCAGAAACAGCTCCTGTGCAATCCCACAAACCTTGGTAAAAATTAGCATAATCTGTGCTCTTATCTCCTAGGTAAAGAAATAAGAAGTATGAATTAGAGCTTGAACCAATAAAATTAAAGGACCACTCCAGGTCACCAAAATAGTCCATCCTGAGTCAATCAGTATTTTATTACATCCAGACAAGAATACTAGGTCTGTCATTTAATTAAGATAATTTTCAAAAAGATTAAGTTTTTACTCTTTTTTCCTTTTCTGCCTTTCATCTATAACCTCTAGTTATAGCATGATCCCATCAAAATAGTACCTACATGCTGCTTATTTTGTATAACAAACTTAGACATTCACAGCATGTTTTGAAGAGAAATCTGTCACACTTCATAATAACTAATGGGAAAAAAAGTGACCAATGGCCATGGAATGGGACAAACAAATTGTGAAATAATCATCTCACAGAAGTTGGGACATTTCATTAAAAAAAAAACAGTAATAAAGGAACTAATTCATAAATATAAAACCCAAACTAATGAACCATTTTTTTATCCTAAAATCAAAAATAGGGAAAAGAGTGAGCATAAAGTGAAAGTAATATAAAAGTTGACTGTAGCTTTTTGGGGGACGGTGGTTAGATTTATATCCAAAGCCTCTAGAATATTTTAGCAACTTTGAAATTACCCATACTGAAGCTGCATTTTTCATGACTTTTGTCAGTTCTACTTTAGGACATTAGGCTCTGAATAAACATACAACACACACTGGAATTATCAGCTCATCCTTCTACCAGCATAAGCACAATGGATGTGATGTGCTCAAACTGCCATACAGACCATTAACTGATTGATTATTTAGTGCTCTCCACTCTGTAATACCACAATAAACTGGGTAATAAATGCTTTGTCACTTATACAATGTGGGTCTCCTGAAATGCAGCACAGAGTTCAATACACTGGATGCTTTTGTTACTAAGAACTATTTCCTGTTTTTAATTTCATAATTGAGTTTTGATGAGTTAACACACAAAGAATGCAAGTAATATCAATAAGATGACCGTGCATCCACTGGCCAGGCAGAACACATATGTGCTGACAACTTCCCATCACTGGAATGTCATCTTTGAATTCTGAAGCGATGATGGTGGAAACACGTGCTGGATCAGGGCTGTCATCTTAGTTTTGTTATAAGGCTTTCACACTACAAGCTGCTAGGCAATTCCAACACAACTGATCACATTAGCACACCAGTAAGATGCTCATTTTATTATAGTTTCTGACTTATACAATCACTAATTTTATTAGAAAATTATAAAACCATCTTTAAAATCTTCAAAAACATTGTTAAAACCAAAAAAAAAAAAAACCTGAATAACATGGAATCTGAGTGCTTATAAGATGCAACTTTTCAATTATACTTGTAAAAAAATAAACAAGGGCTAGAAAATACACAACCTAGCAAAAGCTCCCTATTAATTTTTTTTTTCATTCTCTAAGAATTCAGAGAGGGGGAAAGTGGGAAAAGGAGGCAAGGAGGAAAGGAGGAGGAGGGTAGACAATGAGACAGGCACCTTGTTGACTTCTCTACACTAGCTCGTCAATGCTCGCTGCTGGTCCGGCAGGGAGGCACACAAGCCCGGGAACCCAACCAAGAACTAACAGTACAGTGTATACCCATCATAATATCCCTCCCTCCCCCAGCATGTGTTCAATAAGTTCTATAAATGGACACTAGAGGGCACTCTGGTTGGCTAGATTCTCCAAGGGTTGTCAGTGTCTTTTTTTTGGACCAAAAAAAAAAAAAAAAAAAAAAAAAAAAAAATCACTTTATAATACAGTGACTGATTTCTTTTAAAAACCACTTATTTAAACAAATAAAGATTTAGAAGTTGAAACATTCTAGTCAGATTAAATCAACTGCTAAATGGGTCAAATGTTGTGCCCCACGCAGTCCGTCAGTGTCAGTTTGAAAGTCAGGGAATTAGAGCAAAGCAGGATGACATCATTTCACATGCAAGGCCTCCCCACGCTAACCGGCCAGGAGGTACAAGGACCTAAATAGCTGGCTTCCCCAGTCAAGGCTTCTGTTCGTTCACCGTATTTCTCAGCCTTAGGCTTGGCCCAAAAAGATGAAAGAAACAAAACTTGGGCTAAAAAGGGGAGCAGAGGTCTTTGGCTTAGCAGGGGTATCCCAATGGGCTCCCCACTGTTCGGGTTGCTCTCCCTTTTGCAGATTCTCTCATGATCATTTTGCACTTAAAACATTTTCAAGAGGGGGTAGAAAGAAAGAAAGAAAGTATATGATGATTTCTAACACATAATCCTTATCACTTTGGGGTCTCTCTTCCCCTCGATGCACTTGGTGAAACACCCATTAACACTAATGGAAGTCACAGGAGCAGGCGAGGGGAAGAGAGACCCCCACCGTGTACAAGATGCATCTCTCCCTTGATGTGCATCATGAGCATTTCATTAAACCTCACTGCTGTAAAGAGGCAACAGAGCCAGCAATTTGGCAATCCTGGGAAAAAGATGCATCTTCAACTGTGCTTTCTATAATCTTGATGATGATGTTACCCAAAGACCAACCTCATTTCTGTGTCCCATATGGGAGCTCTGTTAAAGGATAATTTGTTTATGTCACATAGCTATATGTATATTCGATCTACTATTCTAACTTTTTTGGCATGTGATACTACTTATAAACTAGAAATACCACAACTAGGGAGAAAATCTGGTACTATGTGTTTATTAGTTTCAACCTCCTCAGGAAAGTAATGTTTAAATTCTTGATATGAGATATGGACACAGGAATGATCTTATACTTAGGTGGCATGAAGTTCCTCTAGTGTACTCTTTTAAAACTTTGAATATGTTTAATCAAATGTGCAAAAGAATTAAATAGGCATAGATACAGCCTCAAAAGCACAGGTTCACAAAGGTTAACACTGTTTACCTGTATACTGAAAAAATAATACGTGTGGGATATGCATTTGTTATATGATGGAACATAATGTGATAAACATACATTCTGAAGTACAAGTTAATTCTGCTTAGTTTTATGAACTACATGGGTTACTTTTTCCATTCAATGTACATTGTGATCTGTATTTTCAGAATTACCAAAAGACAATTACTTTATTATGTTTCTCGTCCTGAGAGACACGAATGATTAAAACAAGAAAGTACAAAAGAAATAATAAATTACCCAGCTTGTAAAGGATTTAAACAATATATTTGCTCCTGCTTTTAAAATCATAAAAACAGACAGTTGTGCAAATATAACAAAGTTATTACAAAAGTAGAAACTAATACATGTAAATATTTTTGCAAAGAAGGCAAGATTTTAAAAAAATGACAGTGAAATGATAAAAAATGGAGAATCTCTCCCTGGATATTGTAGGTTTGAAAACTGCTTTTAGAAAGGTAAGCATATTTTACAGTGCTAAAAAAAATCAAATGAAAAAATAATAAAACTGAAGAGAAAAACCAAATGAGACTGTGTTGGTATGTGTGTGTCTGCACATGTGTCAATATGTATGGTCTAGATATATAAATTTGAACATGCAGTAACTTGTAAGAAACACAAGATAGATTTTGTTTTGGCTTCATATTTTACATTAAAAGAGTCTATGATTCTTTAAGTAAAATCAGTCAATGTGAAAAGTATGTAACATTCTTGAGTAAGGTTAGAAGTTCACATCATGTGATGCTCAGCAAGATAGTAATACCCTTGTCAACTCACTGCCCTGCATGGCAAACAAGCTTCCAGCCTTTGACAGCCTAGGGACGAGCAAAGGTCACTGCTATGCAAAAGCATTAAAACTGTTGCTTGAAAACATTTCATGTCACTAAAGATAAGAATTATTGCAGTGCTTTATAGCAATGGCATGCAAAGTTAGATTTGCTTATTGCATTCCTTTGAGGAAAACTGATTCTTTTCCTATCCTCAAAGGCAAGAAGTTGAGAGATGGTTGCTTTTAAAGGTTTTTATTTTAAAATTTATTTCTGAAAAAATAAATTGCTTTAAGCCAAAAAATTTGTGTTTGTGGAAAGGATATCTAGCTTTATGTCTATCTTTTATACCTGCACAAAATTTTAAAAAGAAAACTACATGTTTTGGGCAGCAGCTTCATGATAAAACCACTTATTTAAACAAATAAAGATTTAGAATGTATACATAAATTACTACTGAACAGTCTTCAAGGTTTCACTAGACCTCCCTAGTTTACAGGACAGGAGTACTAACATCTAATGACTTTGTCCTCACTTCCTTTCAGAAAGCAGCAAAACCAAAACCTTTCACAGCAACCTGCTCCTGCTTTCCTGTCCAGGTCCGGAATCGGGCTCTGTTTCCTTTCCACATGTCGCTGTAGGAAGGCCTCGGGAACGCTGCTTCCTGAACACACACTTCTTGTCCACCCTGACTCTGACAGCTTGAAAGAGTTATGTATGGACGTATCAGAGAGGGGAAGGTGACCCCAACTCCAGCTCTCTGCAGGACTCAGGGATGACAGGGCAGACCTTGCCCCAGCTGACACGTGGCTATGAAGAGGTGTAAAATCCTGATAGGAAGGCAGCTCTTCTCTTCTTTCAGTGTAAAATAATTGCTGGTTTATCAAAACTAACCTCCCACTTACACCACAGATACGGTTATCTCTTGCTATTTGGAAATAACAAACAAGGAAAGTTGCCTGTAGCATGTGATTTTGTATGTAATGTGCGCAGTCATTTTTCCAGTCTCAGTCACAATTAGTATTTGGGGCCATGTGCCAAGTGGAAACGGATAAAATGGAACATCCTTTCTAGACTTTTAGGCCACCAATGTCCTTTTCCAATTTTTAAGCTGCTGTCACTGGACTCTGGCATTTCTTACCCAATTCATTTGCTTTCTGTGTTAATCATATGCAATGAAGATATGCATGGCCAACATTTAAACAGGCTGCAGATCAATTAGCGGTCTTAAGTTTATCTGATTTTTATCAAAGAAGACAGAGCTGTGGGTCGATTGTCAGAGCCTGTGTCAAGTTGACCTTTTCAGAGATGTCTACATTGCCTGTCCCCTGGGCAACTTGTTGTCCCCTGTTAGTCTCTGAATGGCAGAAGTCTGTTCTGCTCAAGCACAAAGTATACACAGATGTCTATATTACATTCTTATAGGTTTGACAGCAACTGCATGTTGTATCTATAAACTGTCCTTTAGCAGTGACACTTCCTCAATGATGATAAGCTAATTTATGCAACTAAATCTCCTTTGTGCAGAAATGAAAGCTAATTGAGTCATTACAAAGTAATTCAGGAAGGAATACCTTGTATAAATTGGCTTACTTTATAAATCCTTCTCAAGTGGTTTTCATGCATCCTAAATGGGACTAAGCAGCTTATCAGCTATAAGACATGGAGACCAAACAAGCCAACTTCTGGGAGCTGTGCAAACATCTTTAGAACAGTAAGAATGTGACTAAAACAAAACCAAAATAAGCCTTTCCAGGAAGTTACATAATCATTACCTGAGAGCTGGTGCACAGGGTCCCTTCGTTCTTCCACTTTCACAGAAACATTGTCCTCTTCTTCCTCTGTGAACAAACAGAGTCAAGAGTACACTGAAGAGGCTCCTCGGGGATGAAATCCAGTAATCACCCCATCTTAATAGCAAAACTATTAGCATATAAACCATAAATATTATTTTTCAATGAATGAAGCTATCCAATATTCATATTCCTTGGTCAATAATCTAACACTGAATGAACAAACTGCTAGCTATTTCCAAACAGCAACCTTATCAAGGTTTATCCAGTTGGCTGATAAATGTAAGATATGTACTAATGCATTACACACTTGTTTTAAACTTACAGAAACTGATCTCAAGCAATATTAAATGCAGTAGAGCCCTCAAACCCAGTAAAATAATTCCCAATACTACATTATTCTGTGTGGCAGGAATATTACAGATGAAATCATAATTCCTAAAACACTGATATAGCAAGGAGAAAATGTGTGCTATAAAATACAGTTAACCTGTAAGTCATCTACTGAGGATCTCTTTTTGTGTTTTCTCATTTAATTTTCACAGGAGGACACTAGAAGGATCCTTGCCCCTTAAAGTAATTCCTTACCAAGTTATATTAAGGACCTACCAAGTATCGTATACTATGGGAGAAAAGACTTAAAGGTAATTTTTAAAACTTTATTCTTTGGACAAATGAAACTTAAATGGTGAAGTAACTTCCAAAGTACGTTATTCAGACTTAAGTTTGTGATTATAAAATTCTTGTCCTTCATCCTAACTATAACCAGCGCTTCACCTGGATTCTTTCCACTCTCCCTTCACATTCCCTCCCAAGTTAATATGAAAAAATATGATAAAATTAAATAAGGGCTTAAAATAGAATCAAACTATTTAATTCTTTTATATTAAAATACACACATACATAGTTAAGCAGACTAAGGTGGCGCATGAATGTAATTCCAGAATTCTGGGGAGTAGCCCCGTCCGTTCAAAGACCTTGGTTTAATCCCAGTACCACAAAACTTGTTTTAATAAAAAATCGTATCTTTATTAACTTCCTTACATAAGGGTTGATATATAACTTAGAAATGTTGTATATGTGAATAAAGAGTATGCCAAAGAAAAACTAGATTCAAGAAAAAAAATCATAATTTCAAGAAAAATAATTTCAAAGCAAAGTATGCAAGAGAATACAAATGTAGTCACTTAACTGTTAAACCAATGAGCTGATTTTCACAAAGTATTAACTGCCTACAAGAGGGATTTGCTGAGGAGGCAAAGGCAACAGGGAGCTTCTGCCCTCAGGAGGCTGCCACTAGGGGAGACAAAAGGCAGGGTTAAAAGAAAATGGGCTAAGGGGCCTAAACCTGGAGGTGGGGCACAAAGCACCTCCAAAGGAGTGCAGGGGGTAACCTTCTAAGTGGAGATGTCAAGGCCTGTGGGGTGGAGGGAATTTCAACAAGCTGAGACAGGAAGGTTACTTCTAGAGAGAGGGAAAAGCCATGAACTTAAAAAGAACTAGACACATCCACTGTGAGTAAATGACATGGGACCCACGGCGGAAGAGCAGGATGGGAGAGGATGCTAGCGGTTCAGGGCCGGCTGTTACGGATCCATGAACAGTCTGTTAAGGACTGCAGGGTGATCTGCTAGGCAGTTAGGAGCCTTACAAGGCCTTGGAACAGAGACTGGGCAGGACCGAAACTCTGCTCCAGGAATAAGCATTTGATCCCATTGTCTCAGGCAGTCTGGAGGAGGGGCAGGAAAGTCTCCGTGAAGGGGAAGGAAGTCCTGGGCTGAAGGCGCAGAGGAAACGGGAAGGAGATGGCTGTGGAAGGCAAAGGAACTACAGGAATTGATAAGCTTGTGCTTGTCTGCCTGAAAGGACATGGAGGAGGGGAAAAGAGAGCAATCGGAGGTTTAAGTACAGTTAAGTGAAAAATGGGTATAGCGTTGCTTTAAAAAAGTTTTAAAATCATAGCAAAGATAATTTCTAATGTGTGTGTATGTTGGAAGCACAAGGAGTTGCTTTCCACAGGATAGATTTAGCGTGCTTGGTGGGCCCCCAGAGGAAATGACCAAGGGCAACTGTGTAGTAGAGAAGTAAGTACTGTAGGTGTAGATTTCACAGTTTCTTGGAAATTCTAAATGGTGATTAATCAAAATCATCATTTAAATCAACCTTGAGTTACTGTACTAAAAGACAAATATAGCTGTTCTGAGTTTTTGCAATTCAATTCAAACAAAACAATAAAAGCTCCAACATAAGGAAAAGCTGGCAGTATCTGGGGTTTTATACATACTGTCAGACTTACTTTTGGCAATTTAAGATGAATTTTTTGTTTAATAACAGTTATCTCACTTATGCCAAACCTCAAGGACTAGCTATCATAAATGGATTGTTCACGGGTGTTTTCATATAAACTTTAAAAGTAGGAGGGATATTACAGTTAGTCCAAATCACTCATTTTACAGATAGACAATTTTTGAAACAGTGAAAGAAAAAGCTTTCTTTACTTTTCACATCTTCCTCTTGCCTAACATCTACCCCCTTTCAATCTGGACACAAATCCAATAGTAAAGAATAAATTTAAAAAAAATTAAGGTCATGTGACCTCAATCAAATGCTGTAACCACATCAATAGATTAAGCACTGTTTTTGAAGAGACTAGCATTGAAACTTGCCCTCCAGCACAAAATATAAAATTAATTATTACAGCCAAATGGAAAAACTCCACAAGTTAACAAACTATAGAATTTATTCCTGCAAATTTATTTTTATTTAGTAAATTTAAGCAAATATAATGCAGCTTAGGCATAGAAATCATGTCAGAGAACTCTGTCCTTTGGAAATATTTTCTTAAGTTACCAGAATGATATTAAAAACATTTATGTATCAGTATTTACTGTGATGTATCCAAATTGAAGGCCACATGAGATGTTATTTAAAAAGCAGTATTTTAGAGCACGAAACGCACATTTAAAACACTTTCTTTTTTCCATTTAGAAATTATTACTGATATTTTTACACAAAAGGCTTACATATTTCATTACCAACTTCTCTTAATAATATTCAAATTACTCATTTTATCTTGGGGCACCAACACAAATATGGATGAACAATAATAAAATCAAAATTTTCTATTTTTTTAAATTGTAAGGAAGAAAATACTCAAAACTGAACCTTGACTAGAACCTGGTATAAAGAAGATGCTCAATAAACACTGAATGAACAAATGGATTCAAAAATCATAAAAATAAATCCTAACATATTCATTTAACAGAACAAACCTCTTCACATTACTAAAAATATTGTAAGAACAGGTGACCAAAATTCTTGGCAATATTTACCTTCACAATAATATACATTCACACATTGTCTTATTTTAGGTTTATTATTAAACATTTTATTTTGGTGTTGAGGCAAGATGTCATATAATACTAATTAATACCTCAAATAGTCAATGTTTGTGGGTTAATATATTCCATTCAACATTTTAATAACAGTAAACAAAAACAGCTCAGCTATGCAGTAAAATCCGTCAAACCACACAGATGGTTGTAAGGTTTTCATTATGTGGTTTCCATAGCAATCATATTGCAAATCTGGAAGCTTCTTGCAAATAAGCAGCTTGTATTTACATGCCTCTCAGCTGCAGCACAAAATTCTTCAACATGTGAAGTTATTAGTCCAATCACACACTGTTAGAAGAATCATCAGGAGATTTTTTGTGTGTGATCAGACATGAAAATAATAGTGAAGCAAACTAAGTGCAAAAGATAATTCAAACATAGTCACATGTTTACCAATCAATGAGTATCATAATTTCAAGAAACATTCTGTTCATCATCAGAAAGCTTTAACATAAAACCTTATCAAACAATGAAACTTGCAGGATTAGACCCTAAAGAATCTCAAAACATAAATTATATTCTATTTTTAAAAATAGACATTTGGCCTTGTTTCTGGATTAAGCAAAGGAAGAACACATAATCACATCTTTCCAAATCTTTTTAGGAAAATCTATTTGAAGAAATGCTTACTGTGGGAAAAATCAAGATATTTTTCTTTTAGATTAACTGAATTTAATTTGCAAATTGATCTATTTCCATAACAGATATATTATTGCCCTGGTAAGGGTCACAAATCTTTCTAGTTATGTGGTTTTTAACAAAATGGCTACCCCTGGCTTACCAATGTTCATATTTTTAGAATGAATAAATAAAAAGAGTGGTAAGCAAATAATGTTTAGTTGACATAGCTTGAGAAAAGGCAAGGACACCTTATTAGCACCCGGGCAGTGTGTGTGATGCTCCCATCAACCCTGAGGACTACCATCTCCGCAGAGAGGAGAGGAAGGCAACATAAGAAAATCTCTGAGTCACACGACAATTACTAGTCTCATGAAATGCCTTTAGAAACAGCTTTACTGAATTAAAATGTATTTTTAAAAGACATAAAATACAGGATCAAAAATTATACTCCGAAATGAAGTTGGAGTTTAGACCACTACCTGCCCAGGCTTCACTGAATACATAATTAGATATTTTTATGTGATTAGAATAGCTAATATTTATTGCTTAAATGTTCCTTCTATCTGCACATATATCATTATATAATTAAATCCTCATAGCAATTCTATGAGATAACAATCAGTATTTGTATTCTCATCATTTTATGAATGCAAAAAATAAAATTTACTGAGTTTGAATAACTTGCCAACTTTCTCACATTCAGTTAGAATATGTGAGCTGGGATTTAAATTTCAGGCATGTGCTACTGAGCTCTAGGTCTAACTCATAGTGTCTCTTCCTTAATTTTCATCAAAATCTTCAATTTAGAAACTGGGAATATTAGCCTGGCACATACAAGGCACTGGCAAACAGAAACAATATAACAAAACCTTTCAGTTTATAGGTGGATTTAAAAAATAATTTTATCTAAATATTGGCTGTTTCCGGACTTGGAGAACATTTTGACATCGGTGGACAGGTTCTAACCTACTCAAGCAATTTTTAGTGCTGCTCTGGAAACACAACTACAACTTGGGATGCCCCCAAATAAAG